ATGTAGATGCTTTGTCGAGATTAAGATTCTGAAGGTAAGAAAGAGCAGGAAAAAAGATAAGTTCTTACACTGGATAGAAACTGATATTTTGTAGTTAGGCAAATTAGCTGAGGATGCGAAGCGAGATCCCATATAGAACAGTATATTGTTCAAGATAAAAAGTAATAAGTGGAATAATTGTTCACGGACAGAAAGGCCTTTTAAAGAAGTTAAACACAAGTTAACCGTAGAAAAGAGTGTAATTTTTGACGGAGACATAGTGGTTCCGTCAGCAACACAAAGAAGCAAATTTATAAAAAGCATACATGATGATGTTCATTGCGGAGTAACGTTTACATAAAGGAGATTAAAGCTAGACACGCGTGGTGGCCAGGCTATTCTAAAGATGTAGAAGAATAGATAAAAAAAAGTGTAAAATGTGTAATGAAAGAAGAAAATTTAGACAGACAAAAACACATACATGGCCTAAAGAGTCCCAACCTTAGGGCAGAATACACATGGATCATACCTATGTTAATGGAGTGAGATTATTATTAATCCTGGTAGATTTGTATTCAGGTTGACCAGAAGTAATACAGATCTTCAACAAAAGAAGTTGAACCGTGAAACAAGCATTAAGGATCATATTTTCATGAAATGGAATTCCGAAAATGTTAGTATCTGATAATGCCCCAGATTTCTGAGATAAGGAACTATGCCAATGGTTGAACAAAATTTAAAGATTTAAACTATATAAAACCCCACCGTAACATTCGCAGTCAAATGGATTAGCAGAAAGTATGGTTCAAACTATAAAAAAACGGATTGAAAACATGTGTACAACGGAAAGAAAAGATAGAAACATTTCTTTCTAGATTGTTACTAAGCTATAGGACAATACATCATGCTGGAAAATCGAAAAGCTCGTCGTCACTCATGGGTAGACAAACTAGAATCTCATTGACCATGTCTTATGGTACCAATGAAAAACTGTATAAAAAGAATAGTGAATCCAATCTACAAGAGGCAAGAGGACAGAAGACTATGATAATAGCAAAAAAATGGAAATGTGATATTAGCGCACGCAGACCAAATTACATCGCAACACGATATCGATGAAGAATTGCACAGTGAGTCTGAAAGTAATCAAGACGAAAGTCTTGTGTCAGCGGAAGAAAAACATGACAGTGAAATCGAGAATGATATAGATTTGAGAAAAAAACAATTGTTGGAAGAAAACTCCTATAAAAAAAGAAAAAGATCACGATATCCCATATCTAGACAATCTCTTAGCGGGAGGGAGGAAGATAGTGAGGCGACAAAATTTTTCAAAAGTACCAAGGAAATTAGGGGGATAAAACCTCTTCGGTAAAGGGAGATAAGGAAACACATTTACATATGAAGTTACAAAAACTATAAATAGCTACAGCTATAACCCATGAGGTAGTTGAGTGCCTACTACTTCCCGTGAGTCAGTACACTACACCACAGTTTAAATGGTGACTTAAATATATTGTTCATAATCATAACAATTTTACAGGAGTAAAAAGGTTGCGGCCAACAAGATTAATTCAATTTAGCAAGATGAAGCTAGTAAACAAGCTTTCGTTCATATTAATAAAACTATTGGTCGATCAACACATTTCTACCAAAACTTTAAAATGTAATGCTTTATTTTACTATTTCTCAAGGTATATAAGTCTGTTGCAACTTCATAAATTAACATAATGGTTTGAATAAATGTTGAGTTTCATAATAATGTTATATGATCGAAATTTAATGAAACCATTTCGAGTTCATTGAATTTAGTTCGACTCGTTGAAATGAAGAAACTGTATCACAAGCCATACACAGTAAACTGACTTTGATAAATAGATGTAAATATAAACAAGTTCCCATTTTCATTTTTTATTTAATCAATAAATGACGGGTTTTGTGTGAATAAAATTCTGTACTACTTAGAGTGCAAGGAGATTGGAATGCCAAGGTAGGACTGAATGCGTACACAGACTAGGCAGGAACAGTTGGAAGATTTTGCATTGGGGAGACGAACGAGCGAGATCTCAGATTGCTCGAATTTGCCAGAAGTCATCATTTTACCCTGGCCAACACTCTACACTGACCTCATCTAGTAACAGTGTCCTCCAGGACTTGATCAACAAACTTTTTGAAAGAGCAGGGGCATATGGAATGGAGTTCAGCTCAGAGAAATCCAAAGTCATCCAAATGATAACAAGCACAGACAGTACCACCTGGGTCAACATTATCATGAATGGGAATACACTGGAGGAAGTGTCCTGTTTTAAATATTTTGGAGCAATCTTGCCTAAAGATAGTACCTGCACCTCGGAAATTCGCACACAGATTGCCGCAGCCATGGCAGCGTTGGCCAAATTGACAAGAATATGGAGGAGCAAATCAGCTATCAAACAAAGTACAGACTGTACACATCGCTGGTAGTTTCCATTCTCCTATATGGATGTGAAACGTGGACACTATTGGCAGATACAGAGAGAAGGATCTAAGCGTTTGAGAATAAATGCATGAGAAAACTCCTTCGAATTATCTATTGAGAACAAAAAACCAATGGGATTGTACGGAAAAAAGTTGAAAGTGTTGTGGGACACGAGGAACTTTTTGTCGCCACTGTCAAACGGAGAGAAATCGTGTGATGTGGACACATTACAAGGCATGACAGCCTGTGCAAGACCATCATGCAAGGCACCGTTGATGGTGGACATAGCAGAGGACACCAACGCATAAACTAGTTGAAGAATGTCAAAAAATGAACAGGTATGACGGTACCAGAATTGCTGATGGCTTCCGTTAATAGACCGCTATGCAAAGGAGTGTGACTTCTAGATCCGCCCTACGATTACAAAGCGTGTGACTTCTAGATCCGCCCTACGATTACAAAGCGTGTGACTTCTAGATCCGTCCTACGATCACAAAGAGTGTGACTTCTAGATCCGCCCTACGATTACAAAGAGTGTGACTTCAAGATCCGCCCTACGATTACAAAGTCTAGGGGATGATGATGATGATGATGATGATGATTATAACCTCTAAAGTTAAATTAATATACACTATAAGCAATATAAGGTGACTAACATTTTCAAAATATTGAAGTCAGCCATTAAAGATTATTTGCATGAATTTTCTTCTGTTTAAGTTGAGTGTAAGATAGGAGATTACAAAAAGACTCCAGACTGGTTTATAAACACACAAGTCCTTGTCTGGTCACTTTATTTTGAAAGATTCTACAGATAAAAGGAAATAATCATGTTGGTTTTTCATGCAATGACCTCTTGTCATGAAATCTCGGTGCATGTAAACACAAAAAGATTGATACAGTTGAAATTAGATATACTTAAGTTCTTTACACTATTTACATTATTCGGTTTATTGTCCTCATCTTTGTCGCCATATTTATTACAACGTTTCGGCCGTTGTCCGCTCCGGCCTACTTTAGGTGGTTGTAATGTCGAACTGACCCATTTATTTCGCTCACTGGGGTAGACTGTTCTAGTTCCACGTGCCATGTTTAATGGATGTTAGTTATCATTTATCTCATGTTAATTCGCCCCCCCCCACCTCCAAGGTCTCCACTGCCATAACCGGGTATTGAACTCACACTCTTTGGGTCTTGTCTGGGTCTTGTCACTGGATCTATCTAACGCTTTTATCCACTGTGCTATGTGTCCTTGAGGATATCCGTGTATGAATTTCTGGCATTAGTTAGATCCGGTGATAAAACCCAAACTACTACACTACTTCAAACAAAAGGTCAGGAAGGAAACTCCCATCAATACTGGAAAGAGCGATAACAGCCACTGGACTTGAGAAGAGAAAATAATGACATAATCAAGATGTTGACGTTCCACACTACTTCAAAGAAAAGGTTAGGAAGGAAACTCCCATCAATACTGGAAATAGCGATAACGGTTAAGAAAAACGAGAAACCTATTTTCTAGAAAAAAAACTGTTTTGAGAAAGATTTGATAAATTTCAACCTAACTTCCGGTAAATGAATGCTAAATGTCTTCTTATAAGGAAATGGCTGATATTAACATTACCATTAGCAATTGTTCAATCAGATATGGCTACACATGACGTGTTTTTTTCCCAGCAGAATAATGCCTACTTACACAATGTCCGCGCTATTCAACGTCTTCTGTAATATGTTTCATACATTTTCTCTGCCCCAATACAGATGGAAGACATACCTGGATATTTTTTGTGTTCCTTTCATTTTTTTTTAAAGATTTGACAGAACCTGCCTTCGAAAAAATACCTTTATATCCTTTGTTCACCAATAGATCACAGTATATAAATTAACAATAGCTGTCTCTATAAGCCAATGGGAAAGTCGTCAGGTTTTATGCTTCAGGCAATGTTTTTTATTTAAAGGCGACAGCAACCAATTTCTGCGTATCTTAGTAGGCGGTACAAGAGATTATTTAATGACTCATCCACAAACTCCGCAACAAAAATGAGTAAATATTTATATCCGTGCACAACTTGTCTGGTGTGCACATCTCTCACTAGAAATGTCGGTAAAATCCAAGAACACAACACGCACAATATTGAGGGTGGGAGGCGAATTCGCTAAGCGAATCAAAGAACTACAATCGCTATCAGTATTATTATTCACCTGCATTATATGAAGAATATTGTCCAGAAATAGTTGATTTCATGGTTGAGAAATTAAGTCAGTTATTCGAGACCAGGTCAAAATTTCTCCGGACTTTGTTTTTCTTCATTTTAATTAGCAATATTCGCTTTGTTGAAAAAAAAAATACACTTATTTGTTTTTACCACTTATAGCTTTCTGCATTATTTTATTATCTGTTTTTTAATAATTTCACCCGTAAGCAAATCGATAATGTCCCTACGTCGCAGGGTGTAGATTACACGGCGTCAAAGAGAATGAGAAAATTGAAGTGAGGGAAGAAAAAGAAAGGAATTGAATTTAGAAAAATGGAAGATGGTGATTGAAGACGCATTTAATTTTTTGAAGATTAAACGTGGCAGGGAAGCAAAAAGTCGGGAGGGTGGCGAGAGGCAAGACATCGGGAGGGTGGCGAGGAGAAATCGGGAGGGTGGTGAGAATCACGAAATCGGGAGGGGGGCGAGAAGCAAGAAATCGGGATGGTAGCGAGAAGTAAGAAATCGGGAGGGTGGCGAGAAGTAAGAAATCGGGAGAGTGGCGAGGAGAAATCGGGAGGGTGGTGAGGAGAAATCGGGATGGTGGCGAGAATTAAGAAATCGGGAGGATGGCGAGAAGTAAGAAATCGGGAGAGTGGCGAGGAGAAATCGGGAGGGTGGTGAGGAGAAATCAGGATGGTGGCGAGAATTAAGAAATCGGGAGGATGGCGAGAAGTAAGAAATCGGGAGAGTGGCGAGGAGAAATCGGGAGGGTGGTGAGGAGAAATCGGGAGGGTGGTGAGAAGTAAGACATCGAGAGGGGTGGTGAGAAGCAAGAAATCGAGAGGGTGACGAGAAGAAATCGGGAGGGTGGTGAAGAGAAATTGGGAGGGTGGTGAGAAGCAAGAAATCGAGAGGGTGACGAGAAAAAATCGGGAGGGTGGTGAGAAGCAAAACATCGGGGTGGGGGTGAGAAGCAAGAAATCGGGAGGGTGGCGAGAATTAAGAAATCGGGAGTGGCGAGAAGTAAGAAATCGGGAGAGTGGCGAGGAGAAATCGGGAGGGTGGTGAGGAGAAATCGGGAGGGTGGTGAGAAGCAAGAAATCGAGAGGGTGACGAGAAGAAAACGGGAGGGTGGTGAAGAGAAATTGGGAGGGTGGTGAGAAGCAAGAAATCGAGAGGGTGAAGCAAAACATCGGGGTGGGGGTGAGAAGCAAGAAATCGGGAGGGTGTCGAGAAGTAAACAATCAGGAGGATGTGGAGAAGTAAAAAATCGGGAGGGTGATGAGAAGCAAGACATCGGGAGGGTGGTGAGTCGCAAGACATCAGGAGGGTGGTGAGGAGAAATCGGGAGGGTGGTGAGAAGCAAGAAATCGGGAGTGGCGAGAAGAAATCGGAGGGTGGTGAGAAGCAAAAAACATCGGGGTGGGGGGGTGAGAAGCAAGAAATCGGGAGGGTGATGAGAAGAAATGTGGAGGGTGGTGAGAAGCAAGAAATCGAGAGGGTGTCGAGGAGCAAATAATCAGGAGGGTGTGGAGAAGTAAGAAATCGGCCTAGCATATGTGCTGATTCCTTAAGTTTTCGTATTTTACAGTGATGCTCCCTGTCTATTACTTCATGCTCATCCCACAGGAGGCGGTTGTCATCTGCGTAGATAATTAGCTGGGAACTGATGACATCGCGAAGGTCGTTGTTGGAGATCAGAAACGGCGTAGGTCCAAGGATAGATCCCTGTAAGACTCCCGCGTTAGTATGAAATGATCTCGAAGCGTGCCCATTGAACTATACGATTTGTTATTGCATGAAACCAAATATTCGTCCAGTGGCACCGTATCCCTTGATCTTGCAAAGAAAGCAAGCATACGAAACCCTGTCGAAAGAATTTGAGATATCTAGAGCCGCAGCCCGAGAATTGACGTTCTTATCTAAAGCTTGATAGACAAATTCAGTGATGACAGTTAACATATCAGAGGTAAACCTGGCGAATTGGAAGCCATATTGTTTTTCCGAAAAGAGGCTGTGTAAAGTAATATGTTTGTGTCTACATGGAGAAGCAGCATATGTCGATACACCTGGCCAATGTGATGAAAAACAAAGAGGCAAACCAAAGTAAAAGCCTTCAGAGACGCCATTAAATTATCAAAAAGAAAATTATGCAGAGACGGTGTCAAAGAATTTCATCACTATATGAAAACAAAACCGCAAACAAGCCGTGAATAAATACAACTGGTTTCCAGTGTCCACATTGTTCCAGACTTTGCCGACGGGGGTTGGTGATTGCAGTGTCTCTGAAAATTCACATATGAATGTAAAACAAAAGTCTTATTTGGATTTGACAGCCGCATAGGCGTGTATCTATCTATCTATCTATCTATCTATCTGCTTAGTATAAATGTATTCAAGGCGCCTGAATTACAAATTATTCTGTTCGTCTATTGATATTCTACTCTAGACTATTAAATTCTTTCTACCTCGTATTCTGGCTTCGTATTAGACTAAATGTATATACTATCATGAAGCCAGATTATTGTACAGGCTTTCGATATGTTGATTAAAAACACAAGCAGTTTTTCTCATATTTCAAACTCAACGGATACAAAGGAACTATATTAACATAACGTGACTAGAAAATGGTTTTTGCAGACTTGAGATAAATTTATCAATAAGTTGTTTCTTTAAAAATGAAAGGAACACACACAAACATATATACATGTGTGTGTGTACTTGCGTGTATGCGCTTGCGATTGTGATACTGACAAAAAATGTATAAAATTTTCATTGACTGTTAATTAATACTAGTTTCATTCTTTTGGAAGGATATTATAATAACTCAGAACCTTAATTTAGAGCAAACCACCAGCATATGGAGAGAAAATGAATTCGGTAAACATAAAAAAAATAGAAAGACAATGATGTGTCTTCTCACCGGACTTTATTCACCTTGCACACTGGGGCGATTCTGGGGAGATTAGAAGTCCTACCAGAATTTATTACTGGCGTTCACAATCTTAACAACATATGATGTGACATCTCATCTGCAGTCGCTCTCTCACAGACATGCCGTCGCCTCCCTGTGTCTTTTTTACAAATACCTTCATGGTAATTTCTCCGAGGAACTGCTTTCGCTGGTTCCCAGACTTCATGAATTTAAGCGTTCAACTAGGCTGGCATCTCGCTCTCACCCTTTCACTGTCGAAACTGTTAAATGTAACCGTCTCTTCTACTTCAATAGCTTCAAGTCTCGCACTTCTCGCCTGTGGAACTCCCTAGCTTTTTCTTGTTTTACTGATAGCTATAATCTCCAACTATTCAGATGTAATGTCAATCGACGTCTCCAGATGCCTTGATCTATCCCCCTAACCTTCTCTTCATCCTTTCCTCTATCACTCCTATTTGCTCTCGCTCCAACACTCTGTAACCCCTTGCGTGCTCGTAGCTTCCCGCTACTTTCGTATGAATGATTCGTGTAATATAAATTAAACTGCACCACATATTTGATTTAAAAAGAACTGATCCAACGTGCAAATTTTCGGGATAACAGCTGCGACATTACTCTATTTATTGAACAATTTAGTTTATGCCACATTGACTGATAAACTCCTGCAACAAAAAATTCTCAAAGTACCATATTAGTAAAAAACGCACTCTCTTAAATTTTCAAAAAAAAAAAAAAAAAAAATTCAACCTTAGCGTTGCGACTGCACGCTCCAAAAATTTGTCCGTTAATAATAACACATTTCTAAAAAAACAAATTTCGATTAACATTTAATCTTTCGTGGATTTACTAAAAAAACAAATTAATTTCCATGCCTGAGGATGGCTGTAAGTACAGATGAAAGTGCTAGCAGAATAAAAAAATGACCTTATACAACTTCAAGTTATTAAAAACAAGGATCATAACATTCATCGAGATGTTCGTGGGTTAATGTAACTTTAATAAATTTGTTTGCGAAAATGTTTTCGCCATTTATATCATTAATTTTACTAATCTACATTTTGTATGAATGATTCATGTAATCTAAATTGAACTACACCACATATTTGATATATATATATATATATATATATATATATATATATATATATATATATATATATATATATATTCTTTTAATATACACACTTTTCTCTCGTTGGAACTACTATAACCGCTTCCTTATATATATATATATATATATATATATATATATATATATATATAAATGTACAGTTCAAAAGTTTCAGGCTACCACTGGTAATGTTTCAAATTGGTCCCCAAAGCAGTTGTTCTATACTTAAATAAGAGAAAATTAGTTTACATGTTTACATAAAGTGAAACATGATGTTTTATTAGAAATTTGATCATGACAAAAAGAAAAAAAATTATGACTAAATTTTGCTCTCGTCAAAATATCCTCTGTTAGCCTTGATTATTGCAGCAGAAATCTTTGAATTTCTTTGCAAAAGTTTCTCAAAGTATGAGTTTGATAATTGATTTCATTCTTTTTTTTCAATCACTCTAAGAGTTCTTTTCCATTTTGTCAAGTTCACCCCATGCTAATTCTGGTGTGTCTGTGTGTTAGTGAGTGTATGTGGATGTGAGTGAGTGACACAAGTCTACTGAGGAATCCGACTCCATTCTTCAAACTTCCTCGTGATATCATGGATTTTGGTCTTCAGCTCACCTCAGACGTTTTCTAAGGGAATTATGCCAGAGCTTTTAGAAAACCACTTGATAACATTCCCTCTAACCAGGTTGTTATTAGGGGAGGAAAACTTTTGCTGCTGATTTAGGGTTTTATTTCAAAATCTTCTCATAATCATTTACTGGTTACCATAATTACTCATGTATAGTGCGAGATCTTCCGATCAGTCTTTTACGCAAAAAATATTAACTCGCACTATACACAGGTTTTTTTTGTCGAGGTTAAAATCATGCATTTTCGGTTACCGGTTACAAACATAGATCTTTTCTGAAGAGGTTAAAGTTCATGCCCAAAAATTCAAGGGTCCCACTGTACATGAAGTCGACTTATACACGAGTATATACGTTACTAGAGTTTTTATTCATTTCACTGCAAGCTTTCACCATTGAGACACAAGGGTTTAGTGAGCGTGAAAGAATAAGAGAAAAATATAAACATTATTAAAGCTAGAGGACAATAATAGAACAGGAATTAAGAAGACAAAAGATAACGATTGAAATTACACTTAAACTTTTGAAGGTCAAAGTTGACTCGAAAGTAAGAAGCCGGAAGTAATTTCCACAAGCGAGAAGTGCGAGAGAAGAAAATGTTAACATAAAACTTACGGTTACATCTATCAATTTCAACTGTAAAATGATGAGACCTTGCCGTCAATCAAGTACAGTGCTGAAATTTGTGAAGTCTAAGTAAAAAAAATAAAAGCTCATCAGAAAAATTATTATGAAAATATTTATAAAAAAAGGTACAGGGAATCTACATTATGGCGATGAGAAAGTGATTGAAGCCGACATGCCAGGTCAGGCCCAATATAACATAACATTGCAGATTCTTCCTTGTGTTTTATCAAGCATCTCTAAATACATAGCAGAAGTACCAGACCAGATGTGACAGCAATATTTAATGCATGGTAGATCTATTAAATATGTCAGATAGATCCTCAGATGACAGATCCTGAGAGGATTTCCACTTCCGGATGTACTGAAGCATCTACACAGCATTATAGTCTCACAACTGCATTTCCTCTTTCTTTCTCCAAACATATGCATTTCTATAATCAAAGAGCTCTAGTTTCGTCTCATCTCATGAAATGAAATGCTTCCAGGATCCGCCATTTTCAGGTTTCTTTTACATGCTTCAATATCTATTTATTTGCAAGACTCTAGTCACTGTCTTGTTTGAGATTTCAATTTCGAACTTGGCTAAATCATTCACGAGTTCTTGGAAGTTGTTATAAGATCTCCAGACACATCTTTTAGTTTTCTTTGAAATCTTTCGCTTCCTATTTCCGCTATTCTTGTCACTGAGGTGCAACTCGCTTTGAAATTCTTGAGAATATTTCTCCAATTCTTGACACGTTTTGATAATTTTGATAATTTTTCTCCTGTTTTCTTTTTCTCAACTCTAAACTAATTTATTCCCTGACTGACATGGCGCTTTCACAAATGACATTTGAAACATTTACGGTGTTATAAAGTGTGTGCATTGGAAGATAAAATCTCAATATTATCTCAAAAAGTTAATTATTAATGAGGACATAAGTACACCAAAATAGATTGTGCTATGACGCAAAGGAAAATACGATTGTTTAAGGGACGGGAGCTAATGATAATAACTATGGCAGTCTATTTTTAAAAAAATTAGTGTTTTGCGCAAATAAATAGAAATTTATCCTTTCTTAATAAAACTAGTCTGCTTAGCAATGCTATGTTAAAAATAGTTATGTTCCATGCACGATACACGCTTAGGCGATCATGTATCTTTCGATACATGACTGACAAGGCAGATTTTTTCCTGCTGTAGGTTGACATTTCTTTCTGCGGTAAAACAGTTGCCATCCAAGGCTATAGAACCCAGCCTGTCCTGCTATTTACTCATAGCTGGGAAGAGAAGAAGAGGATTCATACCTTTCCCAAGGGTATTAGCACGTAAGTGAATATAATGGATTCGAATGGATTCCTCAATCCGAGCCGCTATCCATTACTCCACCGTGCCTCCTAAGTTAGTTACGTGCCATGCGTGATACATGCTTAGGCGATCATGTATCTTTTGATACATGACTGACGAGGCAGATCTTTTCCTGCCGGAGGTTGACATTTCTTTCTGCGGTAAACCAATTGCCATCCACGTCTATAGAACCCGGTCTGTCCTGCTATTTACTCGTAGCTGGGGAGAGAAGAAGATTCATACCTTTACCAAGGGTATTAGAACGTGAGTGAATGTAATAGATTCGACTGGAATTCGAGCTCGGCCAAAAAGCACCCGTGAAAATGAATTTACTCAGATCATATATATATATATATATATATATATATATATATGATATATATATATATTATATTTATATATATGAAAACCGAATTCATTTTTCAATTGAATTTTCAATTGACATTGACCAGCTTTCCCTGACGATCCGTTTAGGTGAAACCTGGGTAGGTTTGTCTGGCTCACTAGGTGTATCTAGGTCTGCTCTACGGTTGTATTGAGCTCTTTTAGTTAATTAGTTGTTTACTCGTGTCAGCGTTTTTTTTTCTTTGGGCTTCAAACCTGCATCTGTGCGATTTTTTTTTCGACAGACTTTCATGTTTCTAGCTCTTTTTTTTTTTAAAACCTTTTTTTTCCTTCGAGATTGATTTGATTATTGGCAAATCAAAAATTGAAGGTTTTTTCGAAACGATTATAGATATATATATATATATATATATATATATATATATATATATATATATATATATATATAATGAGCAATAAAAGTATAGAACAGCCAAGAAATAAAGGCAAATAAATAGTCAATGTGTATAAGCACAGAGCATTACATTTAATTTAAACTTGATGTGTTTAAACTTGATGTTGTTTAAACTTGATGTGTTTTCCCATATTTTTTTCCATGCGGTTAAAAGATCCTTAGTGGTGAACACGGTATAGATCGTACTTGTGTTACCCTTTATAGGGAAACGTTCTTTACGTGGCCGAGCGGTAAAGCAGCGATAACACATGTTCTTTAATAACATTTAAGGAGTGTTCAAGCCATTAGATGTAATATTAACACGGTTTTTATAACTAAAAATGAAACGTTTATTTCAAATATAAAGTGTCCACTATAATAACATTTTTTAATACATACATATATATATATATATATATATATATATATATATATATATATATATATATATATATATATATATATATATATAACCTCACACATTTAAGATACCCTTACTAGTGGAAACACTGAACTGAAACTAGATAAGTGAATATATAATATTTAATTTTATGTATTGCGACATAATATTTATTTGTATTTTCCTACACATTACTGTATATCTAATTCTCTTCATATCTATCTATCTATCTATCTATCTATCTATCTATCTATCTATCTATCTATCTCAGTCTTCACATATCTATCTGCCTACCGCAATTTATTCCTAAATCAGTTCAAATGTATGCCTAATAATTTCAATATTTTTATATGTATTTCAGTTTATTCATCTCACTGTATAGACTCGCTTGTTTCTATCTATCTATCTATCTATCTATCTATCTATCTATCTATCTATCTATCTATCTATCTATATGTGTGTGTGTGTGTGTGTGTATAATTATGTATATAATTATATATAAAATTATATTAAAATAATAAGAAAGAAGAATGAGATATATAATTCAGAATTCTTAGCATTTATTTTTATTTAAAAAAAAACAGCGCTAGATACAATAGTAGAGCATAATATTATAATTGTTTTTTTTTTAAATATATTACCATCGCAACACAGAAAATACCTTGTTTCAAAATTGAAACTTCAATTCAAATTTAATTATAAAAAACAACCTTAAAATACACAGTCTTGTTCCATTTTCAAGCGATGCTAAGAATCTGTGTCGCGATGTAATATATTTAAGAAAAAAAAAATTATATAATATATATATATATATATATATATATATATATATATATCTTTGACATGCATACAGAGCCTAAGTTTACTTTTTTTGGAACCTATCATGGCTACTTGTTTGATAACTGATTGTTCTTTTTTTTTGTTTCGTAAGACTCTTGTCGATTTTGATTAAGCCCCAAATTATCGTGAAACACACTAACCTGACCTATATATGTTAATACTATTTATCAATTCGAAGCTGTTCTTATCGATATTTAGACAATTTTGAATCTAATTATATATATATATATATATATATATATATATATATATATATATATATATATATATATATATATATATATATATATATATATATATATATATATATATATATATATATATATATATATATATATATATATATATATATATATATACATCCATCAGACATATATATATATAACATTTTGTTTTAATTCTCTTATTGCTTTATAACTAGTCGCAACAAATTTTATCTTGAGATAAATTCTATCCATTTGTCGTTAGGATAAAACTGGTAGGCTTTGTAGTAATGTGTCTAGTTTTATTAAGATTATTTGTATATTATTTCATTCTTTAATTTTAAACACACACACCTATATATATATATATATATATATATATATATATATATTAGTTAATATAGATAATATTCCACGTCGATAGCACGACGAGTTTCATGCGGTTAGGCAATCTTCAGGTGCAGCATACTTACTGACTGTTAAGCTTTATGAAATTTACCTTCTCGTAGTGTTGATTTAAAGTTAAGACTTATTGTCTATAATATCTAAATAATTTTTAATTTATATCGATCGAAACCTTAAGTTTGAAAGACGAAAAATATTTTAAAATAAAATTTGAATTTACGTAAACACGCTATGTATAAAAGGGGAATCACTCCCATTATTTGCATAAAAAAACTGTCCTTAGTCGTAATAAAAATAACTGGTGCTTATTAAAATATATTACTAAAGTAATGTCTTATGGAATGAACATAGCTCTCGCGATGTTAACTTAATTATATGTTAAGACGCTATATTTAATGCATTTTAAACCTAGCTTTATACTTACAAAGGTGAAATTATATATGCAATACGATGTATAATATGGAATTATATATGTGTATATAAAATGCTATTAATGATGTTGCTATGAATATTAATGGTTGCTACATATATTAATATTAATCAGGCTTAGAGTAAAATCTATTTTAAAATCTATTTTAATCGGACTTAATTTACTTGAGCAGGCGTTTACTTTTATGTTTACTTGTAGCAATCAATTCACTTCTTTCGTTCAGTAAGTTAAGGTTATTTAAATGTTTTAAGATAATATTTTTTCTAAAAGACATACGTTGCATCTATCGCCCTTTCCATAGTATGGTTTAACTTTCGCGAATATCTCCCAGCTCATGGGTAGGTTCGTATAATTGCTTTTTTAATCACCAAAATACTTACAATTAATTATAAATAATTAAGTGAAATATTATAGACAACAATAATAAAATGAAGAAATCTTAACACACAATTTTAAATCAACACCACGAGTATTCTGCACTTGAAGAGAAAGAGAGAGAGAGAATTATTATACATAAACGCACAAGAATTATACAGACAAACGCTACTTGACAAGACAAATACACGAGGTCTGCTTAACCAGTGGAAAACAAACACAAAAATAAAAAATACCAGAATTTTCTTTTCTCTTCCATATTTCATTTTCTGATGAAGCTTAAATAGAAGCGAAACATGTTAAATTTATAAACGTTTCCTATTTGTTCTCTATCCTATCATATATGTATGTATATATATATATATATATATATATATATGTGTGTGTGTGTGCGTGTGTATGTGATTCGTTTTTTTTTTTACAGTAAGGTTCCCTCTGGGCTACTCGGGGTAGAGGGTTGCCATAGGGAGGTAGTTTATATGGATAGGAGGAGAAAATAACGGTTGAATCTAGGCTTGAACAGGTTATGGTTGTAGTGATCGGTGAAACATCCTCTAGGGAGCCTATTCTACAGGACAGCGGTTTGCAGGAAGAAACTTCTCGAGTGGAACTTACCAGTTACCGATAGAATACGGAGCGAATGTGGGTGATGTGCTCCAATGTAAGTGGCATGGCAGGTTCTAGCCGTGAGGATCTGACCTGATGGAAGCAGGAGACGCAGTTCATCCGAGCACTTTCCATGGCAATAACGATAGAGCAGTGAGAGACTCGCCACATCTCGCCTGTTGGAGCGTGGAAAATAATTCTTCCCCCACAAGGACCCGGAGACGCTTTTGAACTCTCTCAAGACTGTAAAATGGGGTCTGGGCAGCTCCTGCCAAAATATGACAACTATACTCCATTTTAGGCCTGATCTGTCTCTTATGAAGGTAGAGGATAGCATGAGTAGCCAGGTACTTACGCGAGCGGTACAGGGAGCCGATCATTTTACCTGCATCTTTAGCGATGGATCGTATATATAAATTCCACTTGAGGTCAGATGTGACTTTGAGGCTCAATATCCTCTCGGAACCCGGGACAACCTCGAGGGGATATCTGTTCATCGTGACTGGCGGTAATTCGAGGTCTGATCGGCGGTAATGGAATGTAACCAGTTTGGTTTTAGAGCTGTTGAATGTAACTAGCCAGTTTTTCCTCACTGGGAAGTTAGATTAGAAAAGAGGTCAGATCCCAATCTCTGATCGTCAAGACTTAGATGTCATCGTATCATCGGCATAAACGTTTACAAATGATCGGAGTACATTCTTAGATTGATCATTTATGTAACTCAGAAAGAGGGTTGGCCCCTAGAAGTGACCTCCGAGGAATGGTTGCGTTGACCGCCAGGGCCTCGGAGGATTAGCCGTTAATAATTACCTTCAGGAATCTACCTGTTAGGAAGGGTTTTATAATAGAGAAAACCGGTTTTGGATTCCGGCCGATTCTGTTTCGTTCACTTGGCGCTAATGTCCTTAGAAAAGGCATGAATCCGTCTTCCTCTATTTATGGTTTAAATAGCAGGGAAGAATGAACTCTTTTTTGCCTTCGGAGGCAAAACTCTGATTTTAAAATCGGACTGAAGCGAGATCGGCTCTGCCCCGTCTTCACTATATGAGATGCCCTTATGATCATGAAAACTTACAGGACTAGCAATGTCATAAACTCCAGAAATGCACAAAATGACAATCAAAAACATATTAATATATAATACGACCATCTTTAGTAACATTTAGTTGTTCGACCCATGGAACCACTGAATGGTTGCTACATATATTAATATTAATCAGGCTTAGAGTAAAATCTATTTTAAAATCTATTTTAATCGGACTTAATTTACTTGAGCAGGCGTTTACTTTTATGTTTACTTGTAGCAATCAATTCACTTCTTTCGTTCAGTAAGTTAAGGTTATTTAAATGTTTTAAGATAATATTTTTTCTAAAAGACATACGTTGCATCTATCGCCCTTTCCATAGTATGGTTTAACTTTCGCGAATATCTCCCAGCTCATGGGTAGGTTCGTATAATTGCTTTTTTAATCACCAAAATACTTACAATTAATTATAAATAATTAAGTGAAATATTATAGACAACAATAATAAAATGAAGAAATCTTAACACTCAATTTTAAATCAAGACCACGAGAACGTGAATTTTATGAGTATTCTGCACTTGAAGATTGCGTATCCGCATGAAACTCCGAGTCATGTTGTCGATGTGAGATATTATGCATATCACTAATATGTACTTAATAGCACTGTTATATAACAACCAGCACTGTCTTTATAACACCTGAGAAAAATATGTAGAAGTGTATGTGCGTATACGTATGATACGTATGTTTTTGTCATACCCATATATATATATGTATGTATGTATGTATGTAGATATATATATATATATATATATATATATATATATATATATATATATATAGAGAGAGAGAGAGAGAGAGAGAGAATTATCTTACATAAACGCACAAGAATTTGGCACACAAACGCTACCAGACAAGACAAATACACGAGGTCTGCTTAACCAGTGAAAAAACAAATACAAAAATAAAAAATACCAGAATTTTCTTTTCTCTTCCATATTTCATTTTCTGATGAAGCTTAAATAGAAGCGAAACATGTTAAATTTATAAACGTTTCCTATTTGTTCCCTATCCTATCATATATGTATATATATAACTGTCCATAAGTACTCGTAGTCATGATCTTGCCGACCAACAATGAAACATGACCCTACAGAATGAAACAAATGAAGACATTGCTGGATGATGAACAATACTATCGTGACCAAGTAATTAGTTAAGGAATAACAAAACAAAAGGTTGCAGATAAATAGTGTATTGAACAGTAAATACAAAAGAAATGTGTTACACAACTTGGGAGTGTGCGTCGGTTGACCAGCGTTCAGTCTATATCACTGTTATATTCAGTGACCCTACCACGAGGGCACATATTGTACAAGGCCGAATTCAAAGTTGGTTATCCGAGGCCGTAGGCTCGGCCAAAATATCTCCGTAGAACCCGCATAAACAGGTTCGGGCCTGTCTACCTCCTCGGACGAAACTCTGCCCTTCCGCACAGCCTCGTCCGGGTTCCTGCCCAAGATAGAGAGTTCGACAGGAGCTGCGAACAGTCACAGCCTCGGTAGAACAGTC